AAACAGAAAATAAAACAAGTAGCAGATAATAGATGAGTTAAGAATACAACATTCATGATAATCCAAGCGGAATAGCTATTCTAGGAAAACAATCGGCGAATTCTTCTGAATACCTCGTCTTCCGTTATTTCACCTCTTCTAGAGCGGAGCTTCTCGGAAATACTCTTTGAAAGATTGACCATATCGCGAGCAGTTTCCATCAAACGAGACATGTCTTCAAAGGCCTAAATATAGTTCAACATAATACAGTTCCCATGACCGCAATGCTATGTGAGTGATTGATTCGTCACTGTGAGAATCATACATTTTAGCCCGGCAACATCAGCTTCGTATTCTACCTATGTTTCATCAATTATGTGTTAGATTGCCAGACAAGTTCGTGCGCTTTTTCACATTCCACTGTTTTACCACAAAACAAATGACAATTCCTGCCGCACTACATACCGTAGTCGGCATTGCACTTACTCTATCGGATTCTGAAAGTAAAACGGCAGCATACTTTTCGGTACTTTACAGGAAGCTGTCAGACATAGCGCTTCAAGTCGCAAGGACCAATATTTTTCATACGTCCCGCTATTCAAATATGATTCATGCAAAAGTTGTAGCCGCCACAAATATCAACGGCACATACGCAGCGCTTCACTACAAAAAGAGCCGCTCAAAATGATTATCTCGACTCAAGAATAACCCGGCTTTCACCAACGAGTTCGTTCTAGACACGAAGTTGAAAGTGATGAGGTGGACTTGAGTTCACTTTTACACTTAGAACGTGGCTCTTGAAAATTGGTTACAGCCACAAAAGAAATGCTGAGGACATAAAGTCCATATGAAGGGTCTAAAAGTGAAATGCGATTTAGCTCGACAACGCCCAACAATATCTTGCAAATCTTCCCAAAAATATTATGCAGGAGCTGACTTGGAGATTCTTCCATATTCATATTATTCCCATGACATAGCTATGGTGCGGTCATACTTTGAGACAATTTTGCAGCCGTAGTGCAAAATAGGTAGATATGGAACGCTACCGCATGACCAGTAGGTTTCTACTCCACATTTGGAATCCAAGGCAGTCGCGAAGTATGACCGCACCACGGACGGCTATCACTTTTCTGCTATTGTTTACTATGCGCCTCGAG